ATAGTTATTACCTACAAGAAGATTCAAATCTATTAAGAAGAGGGCCAGTAGACAAGCATAAATATATACTACTTAAGGTCATGGTAACTGTTATGTTGTATACCACCGAGTTGGAACTGACTCATAGCTCACCCTTCAGCAAGTTTTCAGAGGCAGGAAATCACATGGGAGGAGATCGCCTATCTTTCTGTTATGCAGCAGCTGGTGGATTTGAACCTTTACACTGGCAGTGCAACTCCTTCCCGCTAAGCCACCATAATAACTCCTAATGAAGAAAAAGTTTTTAGTCTTCTATCCCAGTTACCTCTCACCCTTACTTCTAACCCAAACCACTCCTTTCCCTGTTTTACACAGCTCTGTGCAGATTTAAATGAGCTGAGTCCTAGAAGCGTATTTGAAGATTGACAGAAAGTCTTCACTGTGTGTCCCCTGGACTTGAAATGCTTATTCAGTTATACTCAGAGTCGCTGTGGGCCAGAACAGGCTCAGCTGTGCCAAGCTACAATAAAAGTTATCCTGTTTAGACTAAACCAGAGTTCAGCAAGCTTTCAAACATGTGCCAGAGTAAATATTTTGGGTTTTTTTTTTTGGGGGGGGTCATACAGTACTGTCACAAATACTGTTTTCCCTTGTACAAGAGCAGCTTTACATAGAACAAACTGATGATGATGGTGAAAACCACGACCTCGGCTAAGAGAAAGGTGAGATCACGAGTTGTGGGCTGATAGCCAGGACTTCATCCTTGAGAAAGTAAAAGGTTCTTAGAGAGAAGGAGGAAGAAAGACTACAATGGATGACTCTGAAGCTGCTCTTCCTTCACCAAACAAAGGAAGAAATGCTGGAAGAGAGCTGTACAGATTTCAAAAGGTAGCTTGAGTACACAAGCAAGGTATTATCATGAGATAGGCAAAGACTTTGATTTAGAAAATGAAAAAGGAAGAACTTGCTTGGCATTTTTTAAGCTGAAAAGAACTTGAGTTCTTTCAAATTCAAGCAGTGATGAAGGAAGGAGTCTGTGGGCAAAATACTGGATGATGCAGGAAGTAATAAAAGATGGAAGGAATATAGTGTTATTGTACTAAAAGGGATAGTGGAGCATTTCAGGAAGTAGCATAAGCTCAAGAACCTAAAGTACAAGCTCCACTGAAGGCACTGGCAAAAGTAAGGCCCCAAGGACTGTTGAAGTAGCAGTTGAGGTGTTTCAGCGGAGTTCTGGGTGTGTTCACTCGTCCATGCCAAGGGGTTTAGAAGATAGCATCCTGGCCAACTTCCTCAAGAGTTCCATTTGTTCCCATTTCCAAAAAAAGGTGATCTAACACACAATAACAATAATGTCACACCAAGTCAAATCTTGCTGTGGAAAATTATTAAAAAACAGCTTAACAGTATGTGGATGGAACTTTCAGATATTCAAGCTTGATTCTGAAGAGGCTGTGGCATAAGAGATCAATGCTGCTGTCAGGTGACTTTTGGCTGAAAAGAAAGAATACCAGAAAGATTTTTATTGACTATGCAAAGAAACTGGACTGTGTGGAGCATTAATAAATTATGGCTAATCCTGAGAATGAGAATACCAGAACACCTAATTGTGCTCATGTGAAATCTGCACTTGGACCAACTTGTTGCCTGTATAGTTTAAAATCAGGAAAGGTGTGTTAGTGTTGCATCCTTTCTCTGTATTCAGTCGGCCTGCAGAGCAAATAATTTGAGAAGCTGGACTACATGAAGAATGTGGCACCAGAAAGTGAAAAAGAGTTAAAGCACTTACTACAGAAGAGCAAACATTAGTCTTCAGTATGGATTACATCTCAATCAAGAAGCCAAATTCCTCACAATTGGACCAACAGGCAGCACTATCATAGATGGAGATTGAAATCATCTCCAGTCAACACTCATGGCAGCAGCAGTCAAGAATTATTAAAAGATGTATTGCATTGGGAAAGTCGGCTAAGACCTCTTTGAAATACAGAAGAGCAAGGATGCCATTTTAAAGAATAAGGTGCACCTGACTCAAGCCATATTTTCAATTCCTTCCTATGCACGTGAAAGCTAAATTAGACTGAAGCAGAACTGATGCCCTGGAATTGTGGTGTTAGACCTGAGTACTGATTATCTCATGAAGTGTAAAAAGAAAAAAAAAGTATCAAAGAAGTGCAACTGGGGTGCTTCTCTGAGGCAAGGATCGTGAATCTTCATCTCACATAATTTTTATGCACGTTGTCAGGAGGTGCACATCCTTGGAAAAAGACATGGGGAGGGGGAAGTAAGGTCAGTTAAAGAGGAAGACTCAATGAAATGGATTGACGCAGTGATTGCAGTCATGGGCTTGAGTATTGCAGAGATGGTGCAGGATAAAGGTTTTGATCTTTTTTTTTCATTGAGTCACTGAGTCATAGCTGACCCAATGACAATAATTTCCTTGTTTCTCTAAGAAATAAAACAAGTGTCTATGCTTTTATTTGTGCCTCATTAATTGGTTCTGCCAGTGACATGCTGAGTGACACTTTTCAACCATTATAAACCAACCAACCAATGAGGTGAAGAAGTCATGCTTTATGCTTGACCCAACAGCACCCTCTTGACAGGGGCCTCTGCAGTTTATGCAGGAAAATAAAAGCACCTGTTTACTTCAGATCAGTTAAATATTTAAAGTAGCTTCCTTCCCACCACCACCAAATAGGAAAACATCATCTTCGGAACAAGTTCCTTTTTGAAGTAGTAGCTGTTACATTCTAGTTATGTAGAAGGACCAAGTTCACCAGTTCTATCCAAGAAGTTTGTTAAAATGGCAAACTTAAGACATAAGCTATTCTTTTCCTTATTTCTGCCTCTTCACAGGCTCTCAAGATTCCAATGAGTGCCTTTCAAAGCGTCAAAGAAAGGTGCTAAAAAAAAGATTAAAAAAAAAGTGCTTTGTCTTTAAGATGATTTAGGTATTTCACCACAGTGACATCAGTTAGCTTGGGGAGACTTTGTTTGAATTGATTTTACATAGTGTGCCATTACCTAAGGTCCAGCTAGTGAGCCTATACATACCGAGGTGTCATTCTGCCTCATTTCTAGAAAACCTAAAGCTCCCTTAGGACCTCCTTCTCAGTGTCCGTTGCCTCCAGGGCTGATCCAGTATGAAGACATACGGAATCTATTATAACTACTTAGAATGTCTTAGTCACAAAAAAGACTATCAAAAAGCATTTAAATTATTGAGAATTGTTCAGAATAAGGAAAAGCTACTGCTATTTCCTTCAATATGAACTGAAGCTCAATCAATATTAAGAAAACAAAGATTCTCACCACTGGGCTGATTGGCAGTATGATGATAGATGGTGAAGAGATTGACATTGTTAACAGCTTTAGTTTGCTTGGGTCCACAGTTAACACTCTTGGTACCAGCAGCCAGGAAATAAAAAGATGAATTGCACTGGGAAAAGTCTGCTGTCAGGGACCTCTCCAGAGTGCTTAAGAGCAATGATGTCAGTCTGGAGACTAAGGTGTGCCTTCTTGCTATGCATCAGAAAGCTGGACAAGAGAGTACTGAATATACCATGGACTGCCAAGGGAACAAAGAGGTTCACTCAAGAGAGCAGGACCAGGCTGCTCCTTGGAGGCAAGGATTCTGAGTCTACGTCTGACACACTTTGTGCATGTTGCAAGAAGGGACCAGTCCTTGGAGAGAGACAGTATGCTTGGAAGGGAAGAGGAAGACCTTTGATGAGATGGACTGATTCAGTGACTGGGGTAATGAGGGTATGCGTAGGTTGACACAGGATCGAGTTAGGTTTCAGGACTACTGTACATAGGGTCACTGAGTCGCAAGCGACTCTACAACACACAACTGCTGTTTCAGATCTCAGACAAGTTCCCGAGGCAGTCCATTCTTCCCTTGCCTTTCCAAATGGCAGCATCTAGAAGGCACACCCAAAAGGAGTTTTGATTATAAATTGAGGGATACACTTTGGGAGGTATTTTTAGGTTGAGAATCCAAAGGCTACTTGGGTGAAAATCAGAAAAAAAGCAACACTGACTAGCCCAAATGATCCAAGTAATTTTCATACGCTATAAAAGCAGCAGCACAAAATAGAAATATACTGTAAATTTATTAGATTTTTTTTCTACTTTACTGGCTGTTCAGATTAAACCAAGGCCTTTATTAACTTGTAACTACAGTCCTCTAACAAATGTGACGCAAATACGTAACATGAAATCTGACTCAGTGGCACAAGATTAGTCAACCTAACAGTAGCCATTAATGTCCCAGCTGGAATCACTTAGTGCTTTTGTAAGAATTCAGTCATAAATGCACAGGCACATTCAGCATAATGTGAGGGCTTCTGCTACTGCCTGGAACGCATTATGTAAGAACTTCCCAGGGCAGGCCTAATGAGTGAGGTCAGCGGACGCCGTTTTATAGGTAAGCCAAAGCTCTGCTCTGTATTTGGAATCTGAAAGGCAGCAAGGCTATGCAAACCGTGCTCTTCAGCTCTTATATTTATGCCTCAGCAGCCACACCTTAGTGTGTCCAACTCCTCATTCATCCAACACCTTCATCACCATCTATCTGACTCTTCCAGTAAAAGTATTACGAGTTCTGTTCAGTGTGTGGGGGTGGGCTGGGTGGGCAGACGACTGGGAGGAATGGATCAGCTAACAGAGAAGACAGAAAACAGTGAATAGGATGACACCTCCTGGGATGTAAACAGAGCTTGGTGTAAGGAAATGAAGTCTGACAAAAAATTCACAAGACTGAGTATAGACAGGTTCTTCACGCATCCCACCCCCTGAAGAATTCTCCTAAAAATCTATGGACAGCCAAAGAGGAAGCAAATGTGGCCCTTTCCAAACAGGTATGATGTGACTCCTGCACGGAGGTTATTTATATTAACAGTGACTCCAGAAAGCAGCAGCCTCCTGTCAGCCGTATTGGGAAAGGCAGTCCTGGCTGCCCACTGGAGCTAGTCAGGTCTTGCGGGTCTGATGTCCTAAGAGTGTTTCAGTCCACTTCCACTTCAGGGCCGGTGGGCTTAGTGATGTCTGGTGGCCAAGGTTCTATCCTTTGATAACAGCAATCGGCCTCAGTTTGATGGCCTTCTTGCTGATTCCAGCATCATGGCAGGTGTTCACCACATCTGTCACATTCTTGTAGGATTCAGGAGCCTGAAGGGGAGGAATGAAACAGTTGAAAAGTCAACCTAAAGCGGAATCTTTACAAAGCTTACTCTTGGCTTGAGATTAAAGAAACACATATAATTCTTATTAAAATAATAAATACTAAAAAGGTTGTCACTCTTCTTATTTTTTTTTTTCTCTTTTCCAGATTTCCCCCAAAGAACAAGCATTATTTGTATAATCAGGGAAAGCAATAAATGTTACTGAATAAAAAAATACACAGTAATTCTCAATTGGAAGGAAATGCACTAACCACTCTATGTTGGTTGTAATTATCTCTGGGTTATTGACGATTTTAATATTTCTTTTTTCTTTTGAAAATCTCTACATCTGTGCAAACTAGTAAACATTGTAATAAGGAGAGTGCTGATGGCTCAGGGGTAAGAAATTGTACTGCCAACCCAAAGGCACATGGTTTGAATCTACCAGTTGCTCTCTAGCAGAAAGAGGGGGAATCTCCTGTGTGACTTACTGCCTCTGAAAACCTGCTGGAGGGTCAGCTGTGAGTTTCAACTTAATGATGTATGTGTTGTTTGCCATCGAGTTAAGCACAACTCATAGTGACCGTAGAACTATCGTCATTTATCATAGTTCATAGTTTCCAGAGGTATGTTGTTCAGAAAGTGGATATATAACAACATAAGGGAAAGCTTTTAAATTCAAACGTATCTCTAACCATGTGCATGTGTAGGTAGGTTTGTGAGGGTCCTTAGTAAACCCTTACACTCTCCTTTCTCATCCTCTCTTACGACCTTACCAACATTAGAATTCATCTCGCATACATATCCTTAATCCCTCACATCAACACAAGCAACTCAGGCTTCCCAAGCCTAGTCCCAAAGGGATTTATAGAGATCTTTTTCGTGATCCATCATTTCCTTCCAATTTCTAACACTTCCGTTGTGGCCTCTGGACTCTGTCCTGTGAGTCATGTGAACTCTCTTCCCTCACCCGCCCTTTCCTCTCCTTTCCTGCTGAAACACAGCTCTCCCACGGCTTTCCTGAAGCAGGACAGCCTGCTCTCCCATACTGGAGTATGGGGACAGAACAGGGTCACAATCCTTCCTCTTCATAGCGGTTCCCAGGCCACTCTCCCTCTCTCCTCCCTTCAAAACTCCCAGTTCTGAATCCTGCAGCCATCACCTTAGATCATCTACCTCCTCCTGCTGTTGCAGTTAGGTACTAGACCATGAATCCATCTCCATTAGGATTTGAAGATTTTCAACCCTGGCTCACCCTGTTACTCTAATTGGTAATGACTTAGATGCCCAGGAAAAGGTCCTTTTAATCCAATGGTCTGCTTCTCCGGCTATTCACCTCCAGGGTCCTATCCCAGAGAGCGAAAGGACCAAGGATCCCAACTTCTCCATCATCTCAATTTCCAGCACGTCCAGGCTGGTGGCCACAGCCTAGTTGTCCAGTGTACATCCCCTTGAAGTTCATCTCCATTAATTCCTTCACCTCACCAGGGCCGAAAGTCCCTCTGTACCCTCCTCAACAATCTTTCTCCTCTTTCCCTGTCTGCTTATTAATCCATTCTGAGAACCACGACCAGGTCCACACCCCTGGTTAAAGCTCCCTGCACCCGTACGGCTGAATGGAGGTGAATCTCACCCACACACAGCACTGCATTTACGTGCTGCTGCCTGACAATCACCAAAGGTCCACTGGACCATTTTCTCTCTCAAATAACTACTTCAGACCTGCAGGTGTATGCTCTAGTCACAGACACTACTCCCTAGTGCGCAAAAGAAACAAACTCGAAGCAACGAGAATAACTTCCATACACTTCCTGTCTTTGTGCATCTGTGCTGTCTCCTTTTAATCAAGATAAACTGTCACACCAACTGCCTCTGAAAATCTGTTAGAGGGTCAGCTGTAAGTCTGTTCCAACTTGATAATATACAACAGCATTCTAATAATTAAATATCTGGAACAAAGTTTCATGTGTGAAGAAGTTCAATTTATAAAGGAGCAAAAAATTTGGAAGATATGAAATTGTTTGCTAACATGACCAGAAAGATGTGGTAGTCTGCTGGGGACAATATTCGGCAATCATGAAAACGGTACTTAGGGAGTCAATAGGAATGGATATGCATTGAATTAGAACTCTTGTAAACTATGATCACATCTAACTTAAAAAAGGACTGAGGGGAAATAACAGTGAGTAGTCAAGAAAAGGGAGGTGGTAGTTGGGCCAGAGAGACCCTGGTGGCACAGAGGTTAGGCACTGGCTTCTGACTGAAGAGCCAGCAGTTAGAATCCACCAGCCACCATGCAGGAGGACACTGTGGCAGTCAGACGTGTACACGTCCCAGCTCCATGAGCCCAGGGGCAGTGTCCCCTGTCCTCGGGGTGGCTGGGAGGTAGGCCAGACTCCACTGCACACAGCAGGATGAGCACCGAGCAGCAGAATGACTCACTTTTCTCTTAAAAATGTTAGGACTTAGGTCACTTTCAGTCTGCATATGTGCACATACGCCGTTATAGGAACCAAACACCAGCACACAGGCCCCAAGCATTTCCTCCCCTTTTAGAAGACTGTTTTCAAGTTTAAATAGCCAGTCCACAGAAACTCAAACCAGATTCAGTTATCCGTGTATACCGGCAGGAATGAGGAGCTGTTTTCTGCTAACAATGAAATAAATTTCACTTACCTCTTCCATAACCAGTTTGGGTGAGGCAACACGGATTGCAATTCCCATATCTGCCAACTTGTCTAAAACATCCTGGAAATCTAAATTACGTCGGGATTTTGCTCGGGACAATGCACGGCCCTAGAATGGAAATGGATGAAATTTCACTTTCTAAAAACCAAAGCCAAACTCCAAGTTCAATCTGAGCAATTAATGAATCCCTTCAGATTCCCTGACACATTTAGACTGAGTTTTTACAAAAACACCAAACAACATACTTTTCCCTATTTTATTAATCTTATGATGATGCTTTTATTGTAAATAACATTATAGCCTCTAGGAAAATAAATTTCTACTTTTTTAAAACATTTTGTACTTAAGACACAAGTCTGTGTAATTGTAACTACTGTGGAATTAATGATAGATCCAGTAATAACGTAACTATTAATTATCAAGGGCTTATCTATCATCACAAAAACTTTGTGCTCAAAAAATAACAAAACAAAAAACCCCACACCAAACTCTGTGCTGTTTTCTTAACCTCAGCACAACTGATGGTCTCCACTATGGTGCTTTGTTGTGGGGGCTGCTCTGTGTATCCTTGCCTTTACCCCCTAGAAGCCTTCCCTGCCACTCTGTGACAACCAAAATGACCTCCAGGGATATACACAGGTGGTCACAGCAGTGCTATGCACAACAGCAAGAATACTATGCAGTGCTCAGAGCAATGATTTTATAAAATACTATATAACATGGGAGTCTATATAAAGAATTATGCTGAGTGAAATAACTCAAATAAGGACAAATGCTGCATTAGACTACTACTGAAACTGAAACCAGGAGGAAGGCAGAGTAAGACATGTATAAATGTTCAAAAGAGGACAGGTAAGAGGGGGCCCAAAAAAGGGGAAGGAGGAAAATCACTGGGAGCAGAGGTTGAGGACAGACAAGGTAAAGGGACAGAAAAGATTCTATGGGGACTTGAAGAGATGGGGTGATAACAAGTATAAATAAATATGAATATATGAATGATTGTATTAAACACAATATATGTGAAGGAAACACAAGGTACATGAAGGACTGAAGGCAAAAATTAAAAAATGATCCCTGGGGAGTAGCTGTGGCAAAAAATCCCATTGAGAACTAAATGAAGTCGATGCGCCTTAAAGGCAAGGAGGGTGAGACTTTGTCTTAAATACTCTGGGCATGCTGTCGGGGGGCCAGGCACTGGAAAGATAGCATGCTGGGAAAGGTGCAGGGTACAGCAAGAGGAAGACCTTCAACAAGATGGACTGACACAGTGACACAGGAAGTTTGTGACAGTGGTGCAGGGGCGGGCAGTTTTAGTCTGCTCTACACAGGACTCGGGAGCTGAAGTGGACTGAGGGCACCTAACAAGGATGTAAAATGACAGTTAGAAAACAACTGCAAATAGAGATCAGAGAGAGAAAAAAAATCAGATTGAAATGTATTTTGAGGTCTGTCCGACGAGAAGACAGTTTGTATTTTCCACTCAGCACTAGAGTTAAGCTCTATGATGGATTAGGAGAGGGTTGGGCAAACTATGGCTCAAAAGCAGAAACTGCTCTGCAACTTGGTTTTATAAAGAAAGTTCCTAGCTTAGAAGAGGCAATGTGCTGCAGCGGGTGTGCCGATTACGCGTGGTGAGCTCTGGTTTACAGACAGGGATGCCCCAACAGGAACTGGCCCCAGTCAGGCACCCCTGAGATCTGCCATGATGTAAATCTGCACCCATTACGGTTCTGTCCGTTCTCAAGTTAGTAAGCCTGGCCAGTGTGGCCATTTTTTAACCTCAACTTTTCTGGACGTTAGCTCTAAGCGAGGGGACAGAACAGCCCTCTACCTCTGCTCAATCAGTATTTTTACTCAGCCAAATACAAAACCACTGCTCACGTGGAGAGTCTGTTCCCAAGGGGCTCCAAGCTCCTTACCGCTCCGTGACAGGTGGTTCCAAAGGTTTCTGTCATGCCCTGCTCGGTGCCGGTCAGAACATAACTGCATGTTCCCATGGTGCCTCCAATGAGCACGGGCTGGCCAGTGAGCTGAGGACACATGCAAATCAAACACGTCACACCTGACAAAGTGTTAAGTCCAATGCCCAAGACCCAAATTTCTTCTTGCAACACATACTTGTAGCTGAATCCTGGACCTCTGAATAATATATTAAGAAAAATTTTTTTTGCCAGGCATTAGCCTTCTTCATCTGTAACACGAGTAAACAGCCTGACAGCTGTTAAACTATTAAAGTCAGACACTAAAATGACAGGAAACGTTCAACAGGACAATGCACGTTGTATCTAGAAGAAGATAACTGGGATTGATTTTAACTCAGTAAAAGTCCTCTCGACTGAGGAGCACAGTGACTGCAGGCACAAGAGACCCGGCAAAGAGTGGGCCTGCTACTGTCGCTCAGAGTACGGGAATTGTGGTTCTCAAGGGAGACGGACTTCCTTCTCATGACTGCTGCTTTTCTAAATCCACCCCATGCAGAACTCTGTAACCGATGCCCTGGTGCTCCCCACTGAGGCGGGCTGTGTACCTGGTAATCCACAGCGATGAGGGGGTGGTGGGGTGGGAAAGCCCGGGTGGAGCCCTTCCTGTGCACCAGCAGCGTCCGCTCCTTCCCGTCCACCACGTGCTGCTCCACCTTGGCAATGTTGTGAGAAACGTCATAGATCACATGCAGGTCCAAGTCATCCGGGGTTGTGTTGAAGACCTTGGCAAAAGCCTAAGAGAAAAAGCAGCCAGAACCAGCCCTTTAGACTTTGTCTTCTTGACTCTGTTCTTAAAGGAAGTGAGGGGGTTTCAGTGTTCAAAAATGTCCTCGTACTAATTTTTGCATAAAGGACAAAACGTGCCTTTTAGACCATGGTTGCCAGCCTATTCTTGGTTCCAGAATTCTGACTTTGGTGGAGAAGTGGCCTGGCTCATACTGTCTTGCTTTCTTCTGGATCTTGGTGAATGGCTGCCATCTACTCTTTTGTTCAAGACAAATCCTAGGAATAATCCTGCATTTCTCTCCTTCCTAATGCTCCTCACCCAGTATCCATCCTGCTGATTTAATTTATGAAGACACCAAAGGCTTGAACACGTGTCCAACCATCTAAATACTTAATTTATAAATCCACAGGCTTTAGTTTGACCACCTTGCCTGTCTTGACGGCACTTAACCCCACGACTGACGAGAATGAATGAGAGACCCTGACTGCACCTGGCGGGTCAGGAAGGTCATGGAGGAGCGGTTGACCCAGGCGTAGTTCCCCGCCGCTGCCATGCCCTTCAGGTAGTCCTGACCCTCGGTGGAGGCGATTCGAGCACAAGCCAGCTGGCGGTCATTGACGATGATCTTGTCTCTCTTCATGGCTTTCTCCATAGCTACCAGTGCGTCTGGAACAAGAGAAGAAGAGACCCAAATCAGCCAGGGTTCCCTTCAGAATCCAGATTTACTACAGAAAGGTAGGCTATAATTAAAGCCACGCTACAATAACAACAAGAAAGCAACTTTCCCTTCAAAGTACTTCTGAACCCAGCTAGTCAGTGAGTCAAGAATGTATTAAGAATGCTCTTGGTCAGAGGCCTGGGACATGATCAAAAGGGCTACAAAGAGAACATCTGCCCTCCAGGACCTGTAAGGGGCAGAACGAGATGTGCTGTGAACAGCCACAACCTGGACCCTACACTGCTGCATATGAAGGAATGAGAGTAGAAGCATTAAATCTATTTCATGACCATCATGACTGTGAAAAGCAGGATTTGGGGTGTGTGTGTGTGCGCACGTGCCTTATTGTAAGGAGCTAGAGACAACTTGCTAGATCTTAAAATATTTTGTTAAATCTTTATTGAAAATTAAATCCATGAAAAGGTGCCGAGGTATCTGGGAGAATATGCAAAAACACCCATCCGTACTTGCTCTATTAGCCTGATGAAATACTCTATAGGCCCAGGCTGGCATTAATGATCATATTCTCATAGGATGAAAGGTACATGTGAAACCAAGTTAGAAGAGGAAATTAAGTCTATCATGATTTCCATGGATCTATATAACTTTTCCATCTACTTCCAAAACCTTACACACATTCTAAGAACCTTCCAAAGTAACCCTCTATTTCCCTGTCTCCTCTTTAGCTTATGGTGTCTTTGGTCATATGGATGTCAGTCAGTTTTAAAGACTAAGGTGTGTCTGACTCAAATCATAGTATGAAAATACCATGAAATTGTAAAATTACTTCGCATGCATGTGAAGCCAGACAGTGACTATGGAAGGCAGACAGAAGAATTGATGTCTCTGTGTTGTCCTGATGATACACGGCCCGCCAAAAGAACCAATGAGCCAGCGTGCTCCCTAGTGGCAAGGACGGCGAGACCTTGTCTCACACACGCTGGGCGTGCTATCAGGAGGGCCATCAGGCTTCGAAAAGTCAACCGTCAGGAAAGGAAGATCCCCAACAGCGACTGCAGAATAACGGGCTTATTATTGCTAAGAATCCTTAACCCAGTGGAGGCTGAGGGTGATGCGGAACGGAGCAAGGAGTCAATCTGCTGTGCACAGTCAGTGTGAACGGTGCCAACTCAGTGGCATTTGACAGAACGACAGCCATCCTTTGTGTGACTGTCTTAACTGCGCGGCCCAGCTGAAGTGGTGTGCCACACCGGAAATCTTTTTCTTCAATATTATACTCAGTCTGTGTCTCCCACAGTACTAGTTAAAGTGTCCTGGTGAGACGGTAGTTAAAGCACTGGCTGATAACCAAATGGTCAGTGGTTTGAACCTCCTAGACACTTTTCAGTAAAAAGGTGAGCCATCTGCTTCTGTAAAGATATACCATTATGGTTTACCTATGGGGCAGTTCTAATTGGTCCTATTTGGTCAATGAGTTGTAACGGTACTAATTGTCCTCTTTATAATTTTCCTTTTAAAGAAATGAATCATGAGACAATCTGAGGTGCAGTGCTGTCTCAATCACTGAATGTACTACAACGCCATGTAGAGAGGCACTCGAGGTGTGTTTATAGGCTTCACAACAGAAGTATATTCTCACTCTTTCAGTTCTTAGCAATGGTAAACATAACAAATGGATGACAAGATTTAAGCGTCAGGCCCCAACTCCAGTGTTTGTGTACACATTAAACGCCCCACAATAGTAAACAACAGTAAGGTCGAGAATCTACCTGTGGCGACCTGGTGGCCCAGGCCTCTGCTCCCGCTGTGGATCATAACACACACCTGCCCCTTATGGTCGATGCCCATCTTCTTAGCAGCGTACTCGTTGAAAATTTCATCCACTACCTGGATTTCCGCGTAGTGGTTGCCTGCACCCAGGGTCCCCAACTGCAAGAAGAATGATGATGATGTCTCTTAGAGACGTAAGCCAACAACAGCAAAAATCCTCAAGCAGTACTGTAGATACTATTTTTAAAATCCAGCTTCTGAATGGAGGAGTGTTGGTGCCTGCTGGTTTGGTGTCTAATCAGGGCTAACAGATGACTTAGAGAACCAAAGAACGCTATGCTGGAAGAGGTCTTAAAAGTTGCCTGTTTTTCAGATGTGGAAACTGTATCCATAGAGGCAAAGAGATATGCCAAGATCACATGTGGCGACAACATCATAATTAGTTATTTCAAACATCTGGTATACTTTCATCTCACGGAGGCCACGCACTGACAAGGTATCTCCTTTCATCTTAGAAGGCAGAACACTTTGGGACAAATCTATAGATGGTCAAAGTCTGCGTATACATCATTTTGGCCTGAATTGTAAACGTCTTATTTCATTTTATTCCCTAAAAGTACTATTTAATATTATGAACATTTTCCAAGGCTCTGACATCTTTTTGGAATAAAAGCATTAAGAAAAATAAAAGTTCCCCTCACCCAGAAAGCCTCAGCCAACGCTCTCACACAAACTGTGCGAGCACGAACAGTCACACATACAACAGGTCCCACTGACAATTTTCACTAGTTCCCTGACAATGACTATGTTTCTCATGGATTGAGCTGTTCCTGTCAAAGATACATGATAACATGTGGATGCTGTATAATGAGCCCCAATGCTCTGATAAGCCAAACACTGCTGGAGAATAAGAGTGGAACTTAACACTTTTAATCCCATCACAGCCCTAATGATGGAAGAGGAGTTCTCCTAGGGCAGAGCCTCTACTACCGGTTATCTCACTAAAGAAAAAGGGAGGGGATTCCTCAGTACCAAGGAAGAATCACCAGGAGTGGAGTGATGGGAATGGAGCGGGAAACAGAGACACACAGAGAGAGACACAGACACAAAGGGGCCTTCTTTCAAAGCTAGCACTCTGAGTTTAGACTTCAAGTCTCCTAAATGATAAGAAAATACACGGTATACAACCATTATCAGTAATACTGTTTCAATTATTCCAATCCATGTTTTTGATATACTGTGAAAAATCTTGGGGAATAAATATGTTAAATGGAAAACAAAATTTCCCGCCCAATAAAAACAAAGTCTAAAACAATTGTGGCCCCTCCAGAGTTACCTGCGGAAGGCCCCTCTTTTTGGCCCTGGCGGAGACCTTGTTGGGGTCGGCCTGCAGCATCCTTCCGTACTCCTCACAGTGTTCCTTGTCTTCAGCCCAGGCATAGCCCTCCCTCAAGGACCAGTCCACACCCATCTCCAAGGCCTCCTCCAAGTCTCTAAAGGAAGCAGTAAGGTCTGAGTCATTCCACAGCAAATGAAGATCAAAACTTGACCACCTCAGGGGGCTCCCTCACTACAGGACAGGACAGAACCCTCAATCCACTGGGAGGCAGCTCTCTACTGGGTCTGCGCTAGGGGCTAGATAGAGGTTAGGGGCTCACTAACTCTAGGACAAAGAAAACTTTCATAAATAACTAAAACACCATTTATGCCCTTAAGGAATTCTCTATGAAGGGAGTGAAAACACATAAATAACTCTAATATAAAATGGTAAATGCCACATCACAAGCAACTATAATTCTTCCTGGCATTTATAAACACCTCATACTCTTCAAAGCATTTTTATATTAGATTTTCCTCTCTGTTCCTGAATTCTCTGAGGTGGTTATTAAGCAGCCAAAATGAAGTTTACAACCATACACAGCTATCAATATCTACTATGAATTTAATCAGTTATCAATTTTCATTAATAATTTATGGAACATTATAATCATGTAATAAATAACAGTATCACTCTCCTCAGGTGATACAGGTTAAATTTGAAGGTGTACCCCCACCTTGACAGCAGTGCTATGCGGCTTTACCGCACCTGCCTTTTCACACTGAGGGGCACAGACATTCACAACCCTTAGAGCAAAAACCATGGTCTTCATCATAGTCCTCTTCCCAAACTACCAACCCAAATCCATTGCCACCGAGTCCGCTTTAACTTGGTGACCCTACACTGGGTTTCTAAATCTGTAAATCTTTATGAGAGGAAGACTGCCCAGCTTTCTTCCAGGAGCAGCTGACTGGATTCAAACCACTGACCATTCAGTCAGCAGCACAACACACAACGTGTCATGCCACCAGAGCTCCTTAACCTCTACCAGGAGAGTTTAAATGCCAGTGTTCTTTCCCCAGGACCCCGGAGGACAGTCTTCTTTAACACTCTTAACACTAACAATGATACGCATGGATACACCATGTTCCAAACATTTCTAAAAGACAATTCTTATCTTAAATATCCAAGATGCTTGGCATTTTTATGTTTCATAATCTTTTCTCAGTGGTGCTGCGTGGCAAGGGTCACATGATGTCACAAAATAAGCATTTTCTAAGAACGTCAGTATTTGGTTTTGAGAGTGGGGTCTGGGAGTGCAATGATACGAGGCAATAGTGCCTCTAAAGAAAGACCTGGTAATCCACTGCTGAAAAATCTTACCAAATGCCTATTGATCTGCTTCTGACTCACAGTCCTACAGAACAGTGAAAGACAGCCATGGCTTCCCAGGCTGTAATCTTTACAGAAGCAGACGACTACAGCCCTCCTACAGAAGGCTGAGGAGCCCTAGCAGCTGACCCTTCAATACTTTACCCCCTGCTTCACCAGGGTGGCAATGGTTCTGCTCTGGAACACATGGCATGGGTAGGAGTATATACAACTGGAACTGATAGTAGTCACGGAAAACATTTTTATACTACAGTATGCATACATACAGTTGCATGAAGTGTAAAGTTTTTTTTTTTTTTATTTTTTGGAGTGTAAAGTTTTAACGATAAAATGATGATGGCAAAGGCAGATCCTTGCCAGGCCCGCTCTTGCTCTGGGAGTCCACTGCATGGTTCCAGGTTTGCTGCTCACAGAAGCTAAGAGGACAACACAACTGACGAAGGCTCCCTGAGACGCAGTTACGTCACAGCCTGGTCTTTGGTTTTCTACTTTAGAAATATTTAAGCCCCATGTTGAACAAGGTGGCTGGGTGGTGCACTAGGTTAAGTGAAATGGGAATGAAAGGGTCAGTGGTTTGAGCCTAGCCAGTGGCCCTGTGGTCTCCTGGTGATCTGCTTCTAGATCTAAGCTGAGGACCTCCATGGGACAGTTCCTCTCTGGCACAGAATCAGTGGAGTCAGAATTGCCGCTACAGCATATAACAAGCCAACCAATAGAGATTATTCAAAAAGGAAGGTTCTGCATAAGTATCAGTGACTGACAAAAGGCAAGTGTGGCTCAGAACAGTATCTGAAGTTACAGGATCTTTGGTTTGAATTAGTTCTTTCTCTAAATGCCAATTTCCTTACTTGTAAATGAGGGATAATATTAGGGTTACCATCTATATGACATACAAAGTGTATCTGGCTCAATAAACTCCAGGGGCTATTATTCCAGGATAATGAACATCAGTTAATTAATGCTGTTAATAAACAGGATTTGGTTCTTAAAATTTGTTAGTAACCGTTTGTCAACAGTGACCGAGCACTGTTTTCTCCTGACCACACGAGCTGAGAACATGTTCCCGGCTGCACTGACTGACACCTGCTGCTCTTACTTGGCATTCATCGGGATGACACCTTTCGACCCCACCCCGACGGGAATGTGATCAAACATCGCCTGGGCAAGCTGCTCCTTCACAGGCTGAACATCACTTTCATCTAAATTGGTTCTCAGCAAGCGGACGCCACAGTTGATATCAAATCCGACACCACCTACAGAGCAGAGCAAAGTTAGTCAAGCAATAACAAAAGCAGATTATCAATAACAAAAGTTGATTATCGTTACCTGCAATTTCTAACACGGGATTTTAAAAGACGGTCACTATTAAAAATAATTATTAACAGGATTGTGGCAATTCCCCCAACACATGTAAACAAAATGATACAACATAGTAAGACGCCCTGTGATCTAATAAGCCAAATAGATGTAAAAGGATTCAGGGGGGAAAAAGACTTCTGAGTCCCATCATAGCCCCAACTCCAAGGGTGTGGCTACAATACCTTTTATATCACTAGCCATAAAAGGGGAGGAGAGTGAGCTGATGAACTCTTGGCTGGTAATCAAAAGATTACTGCTGTTGAATGCCATCAGTTAAGCAGGACTCATAGTGACTCTATGAACAAAAGACCTAATGCCTTTCCATAACTCTCATCATTTTTCCAAGTTCGTTCCTAGTTTCCAGAGGCATGCAGTTTAGTAAGTGGATGCCACTCCTGCTTCCAAACCCGTCTTACAACTGGGAGCTCCACCAAACACTGTCCACAAGGGGAAACCATTCTGGTGTTTGATATCCCAATGGCACAAGGTTCAGCATCACAGCAAACCCAGGTTACTTCATACAGCACACTGACAAAGAGTGATATGCAAAGTGGAAGAGTGTTCTCCAGATATAACAGCACTAGTCTCATTTAGCAGTGGTTAAGTGTTGTCGAGTTGAACACGATTCAGCTTTTGCACAAAAGACCTGAACTCTGTTCTATAACATACATTTATAGAGTTTAGAGGGTTTGTATCCAAAATATTGCTGTGGCTAAATTCTGTCAAGGTGGAAACTGACCCAGAGGTGACCCTTCAGCAGGTTTTCAGAGGCAGTAAATCACGTGAGAGTGCCCATTTCTCTCCAGCAGAGCTGCTGGTAGATTCCAATTGTGTGCCTTTGAGTTGCCAGTCCTTACCACTCTGCATAGCTCCCTAACCAAAACATTAACATCTACTCAGAAGTATTTCAGAAGAAAGGCCTGGAGATCCATTTCCAAAATGCTGTTGCTATTGTGTTGTTGACTACCATCAAGTTGAGCACGACTCACAGCATCTCTATGAACAAAAGACCTGAAGCCTTTCTAGAACTATTGTTGTTTCTCAAAGTTCATAGTTCCAGAGGCATGTTGTTTAGGAAGTGGACGCCACTTCTGCTTCCGAAATTTCCAAATTACCAGACATTAAACTCTTTAAAAGGCCACTGCTTAATTTCCAAATAGAAGTTTTAGTCTTTGTTGATAATTTCCACCTTAATTCCACTATAATTATATAACACTCTATCAATGAACTGCTTTGGGAAAGTCTGCTGTCAGAGATCTCTCCAAAGTATTGAAGAGCAACAGTGTCAGTCTGGAGACTAAGGTGTGCCTGATCGAGGCCACAGTCTTTGCAATTACTTGCTATGCATCAGAATTTGATGCCTTTGAACTGTGGTACTGGAGAAGAGTACTGAATATATCATGGACTGCTAGGAGAACAAACAGGTTAGGTGTAGAGAGGGTGAAACCAGGCTGCTCCTTGGAGGCAAGGATTCTGAAGCTGCATCTGACATACTCTGGACATGTTGCAAGGAGGGACTAGTCCTTGGAGAAGGATGTCATGCTTGGGAGAGCACAAGAGAGGAAGACCCTGGATGAGATGTAGTGATTCAGTGACTAGGTTAGTAATGGGGGTTGGAGTGTCAGAAATAATAAGACTGGCAAAGGATACAGCAGAGTTCAGGGCTGTTGTACAAAGGGTCGCTATGAGTTGCAGGCAACTCGATGGCACATACACAACAACATCAATGTTTCTTAAAAGTATGTTTTAGAGATACCTGGGGTTTTTAGAATATGGTCAAAGTATTTATTGCTTTTAAAATTTCCATTCTTTTCTCATGGGTGTACAAGGACATTTTCCAAAAGCTGCATGAAATCTAATGACATTTTTGACACCAACGTGCATTGGTGTGTTTTAAAATTTTGTAACAATTTCTCATTTGGGAACCACTTACTGCTAAAACTCACATGAAGAGTAAATCTTTGATTGTCCTCAATCATTTTGAGGCTGAAAGAAGTCCTAGTAAGAACTGCTGCTCTGTAGAATCTCAGTGCTTTGAAATCTGAGGCCTGCTTTATGGTCCAACACACACATGGTCAGTGGTAAATGTCTGGGTCATCTGACAAGAATGCACTATAAATGTGTGTACACATAGAACTACATACATGTACAAGAGGTCACTTGTCAAGTTTGTTAACTGTATTGTTCAAATCTTCTCTAACATTATTGATAGAACTATAGCTTTTTTTTTTTTTTTAAGGGTGAAAAAAAGGTGCTAAATGCTGCATTCATGTCTCTGGGCTTTTCCTCTTCTGATCTTGGCTTTTCATGGTTTTACTGCCTCGGCAGCTTTCTAAAGCCTTCAAACAGATGTTTTTGTATTTCACCCAGCCTTCTAGTAACTCAATGGGGAACTGGTTGGCAGGAACCTAGTTTACCACCGCCAGAGGCAGAACTCTCCAGATGGGATTTAAACTTCCATTTTTAACTCCAGTATCTCCCTACGTACTTCCTAGTACCTAGTGCTGTCCGTCTTAACTAATTTAAGCCTTACATCAATACTAAGTACTGTCCATCAATACTAAGTACTGTCAGCCCTAATTTGCCCCAAAGATACAAAATTAAATAATCTTTCTGAAGTGTTTCAGTTTTGTTTTGTACCCTAGTATACAGCAGGAGCACAATTAAACTTCAACAAATATATATGCATGACAGCAATCTAGAACAAATGATGGACTTAGAGTGGGGTGGGGGAGGGGAGAAAATGTGTATCAGTGGAGGAAAAGTTAAAAAAAGATTTTTACACACCCCCATCATCATTTCTTTGACACTGAATAACCAGGGTCTCATAAGCGCAAGTTTTTCAGTAAATAAGAGGAAAATAAATAACAGAATATGATGAGACTGAGAGGGGCACACACAAAGAGAAGCTGTTCTTCGTTTCAGAAAGGACACACAGACAAGTGGCAAACCTGGCAGCAGACAGAAGATGCAGTGAAACTTACCAGGAGAGACCACGGCTTCAGGGTCATTCATATCAAAGGCTGCCATATTCCCAATAGCAAATCCATAACCCGAGTGGACATCGGGGAGGCCAACAGAACGCTAAAAAAGGAGAAGAAAAAAATCCATTTTGTCAGGCTGGCACTGACTGATCTAATTACTGGTTCCCAATGAGTCTGCAGACCTTCCCCAAAATAAGACTCCATTTTCATGACTGCTTTACTGGTAGAGATGAGGCATGAAGCTTCCTAAATAATAAACAAAACAGATGAGGAAAATATAAAGTATAAATATTAACTAAGGAAACCCCAAACGAAAAGCTCCATATGAGAACCACGAACTAAACTGAATTTATGACATTTTGCTGATGATCTTTAAGATACTGCTAAAAGTCACTTATGCTGGTTTAACAAGAGGTAAACAAATTAGATTTAACTGTCTAATTAAACATTTAGAGTTGATTTAGATAGGTCCCGGGTGTTCATGCAACCATACATAAACATAAGCTATCTGATCTTATGAATGGATTCTGACCGAGGAAGAATGCAGGTCAAATCAGAAAAAAGATACAAAAACATCTGTTGTTAGGTGCTGTTGAGTCAATTATGACTGATAGCAACCCAAGGAACAAGAGATCTGAACCCTGCCCTATCCTGTACCGTCCTCACCATCTCTAACACACGTGGTCCCATTGTTATAATCACTGTTAATCCACCTCCCTGAGGGTCTTCCGCTCTTCCACTGACCCTCTACCTTCCCAAGCATTATGTCCTTTTCCAAGGACTGGCCCCTCCTATCAACATGCCCAAAGAATGAGAGACTGAGTTGCACCATCCTTGCCTCTAGGATGTACCCTGGTTGTACTTTCTCCAAGACATACTTGTTTTTCCTCTCTGCAGTCCATGGGATATTCAGTACTCTTCCCAACACTACAACTCAAAGGCATCAATCACTCAGTCATCCTTAGTCACTCTCCAACTTCTAGATGCTTAACAAGTAACTGGTAATACCATGGCTTGAAGGAGGTGCACCATAGTCCTTAAACAAACATCATTGCTCCTTAGCACTTTGGAGAGGTCTGTGACAGCGGAATTTTCCAATGCAACACATCTTCTGATTTCTTGATTGTTGGTATCAAGTGATGAATGAGAATCCAAGTAAGATGAAATTGCTGGTAATTTCAATCTTTTCTCTATCTTTCATGATGTTGCCTATTGGCCCACGGCAAGGATTTAATTTTCTTGATGTTGAGATGTAATCCATACTGAAGGCTTTTGTCTTTGAACTTCTATAGCACATGGTTGAAATTCTCCTCACTTTTAGCATATGAGATTGTGTCATCTGCATAATGAAGGCTATTGATAAGTTTTCTTCCAACCCTGATGCCACATTCTTCTTCATACAGTCTAGCGTCTCCATTGATTTTCTGTCTACGGACTGAATAGATATGAAAAAAGGAGGAAACATTGAAGCACACCTTTTCATATTTTAAACCATGCAGTGTTGCCTGACCAAGAAACAGCTTCTTGGTATAGGATTCACATGAGCACAATTAAGTACTCTGGGACTCTCATTTTTCTCAATGTTAACCAGAGTTTATGATGATTCACAGTGTCAATAAAACACAAACAGACATTCTTCTGTTATTCTGTGCTTTCAGTCAAGATCCCTCTGACATCAGCAATGATATCCCTGGTGCCACAGCCTCTTCTAAATCCAGGCTGAACTTCTGGCAGTTCTCAGTGGTACTGTTTTAACCAGTTGTTGTTGTTAAGTGCTGCTGAGTATGACTCACAGTGACCCTATGAACAACAAACAGATCTGAACTCTGTCCTATCTGACACCATCCTTATCATCCTCAACACATTTGAGTCCATTGTTGCAGATACTCTATCAATCCTTCTCATTGAGGGTGATCTTCTCCTTCACTAATCTCCCACTTTTCCAAGTATGATGTCCTTTTCCAAGGAATAGCCTCTCTTAATAATTAAAAATATGTGTAGTGAGGTTTCACCATCTTTGCATCCAAGGAGCATGGATGTACTTTCTACAAGACATATCTTTTTCTTTTGAAAATTCACAGATTATTAGCACTCTTCTCCAACACAACTCAAATGCACTGGTTCTTACGTCATCTTTATTCACTGACCATATTCACTGACCAGCTCTCAGTTGCACAGGAGATGAATGGAAAGACTGTGGCTTGACTCAGGTGCACCTTAGTGCCTAATACTGAGTAATTCTACCAACTTTTGCAGTCTGAAATTGAACAAAAATGCTGTCAAAATGCATTATTAATAGCCAGGTAGGCACACACAAATTCCTTAAATGTTCAAGGCAGGTCTTTCGAATTCTTCCACAAGTGATCAGCTTTTTAACATGCCTAAAATCAGGAAGGGTGTGAGCCAGGGATGTATTCGGCTCCATATCTTTTTTAATCTGTATGCAGAACAGATCATTCTGAAGGCTGGGCTGTATGGGAGGAACGAGGCATCAAGACTGAGGAAGATTCATCAACACCTGCATTATGAAGATGACACAATCCTGCTTGCTGAAACTGAGGGGAGGACCTGAAGCACTTGCTGCAGATCAAGGACTGTAACCTTCAATATGGATTCAAGCTCAACATCAAGAAAACAAAGATTCTCACCACTGGGCCAATAGGCAGCATCATGATGGATGGTGAAGAGATTTAGATAGTTAACAGCTTTAGTGTGCTTGGCTCCACAATCAACATTCTTGGTACCAGCAGCCAGGAAATTAAGAGATGAATTACAATGGGAAAGTCGGCTGTTGGGAACCTCTCCAGAGTACGGAAGAGCAATGATGGAGATTAAGGTGCATATGATCCAAGTCATAGTTTTCGCAACTGTAGAGAGCTGGACAATGACTAGGGATGACAGAAAGAGAATTGATGCCTTTGAGCTGTGATGCTGGAGAAGAGTGCTGAATATACTATGGACTGCCAGGAGAATAAACAGGTTCGTCCTAGAGAAGGTAAAAACCAGCCTGCTCCTTGGAAGCAAGGATTCTGAGATTTCGTCTTACATCCTTTGGGCATGTTGCAAGGAGGGATTGCTCCTTGGAGAGGGATGTCATGCTTTGAAGGGTGGAGGGACAAAGATAGAGAGGGAGACCCTCGATGAGACAGACTGATATAAGGACTGGGGTAAGGAGGGTAGGCGTGTCAGAGACAATCAAGTTGGCATAGGGTAGAGCAGGCTGCTTTACATAGTGTCACTATGAGTCCCAAGCAACTTGATGGCACATAACAACAACTACCACCACCACCACCTCAAAAAAAGCATTTGTTCAACTGACAGATTCGTTTGCTACATTCACCTCTAGTGGTAAAATGTAAACGCTGCACTGAACCATCCAGTTCTGTTCCTGTGCTACTGCCACCACCCTGCTTTTCCAATCATGCCCAGCGAAGCTGTGCTCACTTCTCTTCGCACAGTGTCTTAACCTACTGAACAGTTATGGTGAAAGCCAGCAGTAGCAGAACGACCCATGCACAATAATGTATCAAAAAGAATTATAAAAACCACTTCAGAGTATAGATTCTAGACACAGGACCTCGGAATCTAAGCTGTTATGTAACCTAGATGATTTTAAGTTCATTTAAGTATATTTCAAAAAATGCAAAGGTCACTCAGTGACATCACTATCAGACATGACTATGCACTCAGTCAACAAACTCTCAGAGAAAGAGGAGATAAAAATGATTCAACTCTGACTCACGTGAACAATCCCAGGTAGGGCCGCCACATTGCCAATCTGTTTCATGGCTGGCAGGAAGCCACCAACACCTGGACAGAGAAATTCAGTATTAGAAGACGACACATTCTCAGCATTCAATAAATTCATCTATTTTCAGACTGTTTTATATGAAGAGGACATGACTAGGCTACTACACCATGAGGCGTCGAAGATTATTTGATGGAAGTGAGAAGGGAGTTTCCTGAGGGAGGACTCACGCACAGGAAAGGTGCTGAGGATAATCACACCATTACACACATGCCACCAGTGCTCTTCACCCACAGTGGGCTGTGCAAGTGCTACACAGGGAGAGGGGAAACGGAACTCTTAAACCAGAGGTTGTCAGTTAATGCAAAAAAGGCAGTTTCTCAATAGTTTCTCTCTCTCTCTTTCACACACACACACAAACTCATGGTGGTTTAATTTAAGGTAACAAAGAAGGAGCATGTGGTAGACTGGTGGATGACAGAGTTAGGGAATTTGGGTTCCAGTTTCAGGTTCATTACTGTGTAGCTGCGTCATTCCAGATCTGGGGAGAGAGATGTTGTTGTTAGGTGTCGTCGAGTCTGACCCATTATTGGCCATATGAACAACATATATGAACCCTGTCCTATCCTATGTCATCCTCACACTTCCTGACACATGACACATTAGAGCCCACTGCAGCAGTTACCATGTTAATTCACCTGGTTGAGGGTCTTCCTTTCCTTCACTGACCGTCTACCTTTCAAAGCATCATGCCCTTCTCCAAGGAATAGCCCCTCCTAGCAACATGCCCAAAGTATGTGAGGCAAAGCCTCAACATCCTTGCATTCAAAGAGCACTGCAGCTGCACGCTCTCCAACATGTATTTTGTTTGCTCTTTTGGTAGCCTGTCGAATGTTCAGCGCTATTCTCCAACACCACAATTCAAAAGCATCAATTCTTCTGTCATCCTTATTCATGGATTATTTGTGGGAGAAGGACAGCTTACCTAGTAGTTTGCTAACTTAAGAAAGGTTTATAACTAGATGATTTCCATTCCACCACCGCCATTAGGAGGGGGTGTAGTCCTTCAGCACACAGGTGTCAACTAGACAAGTTGGTGATGTGAACCAAACAGTCACACAATGAGAGAAAGATGGGGTTGGCTGCTTCTATAAAGATGACGCCAAATAAGTCTGTCTAGAAGATGAAACCAAGTTGCTCCTTGGAGGCTAGGATTTTGAAGCTCCGTCTCACGTACTCTGGGCAGGTGGCCAGAAGGGACCAGTCCTTGGAGAAAGACATCATGCTTGGAAGGGTGGAGGGACAGACAGCACAGGAGAGAAAGAACCCAGGTGAGATGGAATTCATCAGAAATTGGGACAACAGAGGTAGGTGTGTTAGTCAGTGCAACTGGCTCAGGACAGGGAAAGCTTCAGAGCTGTTGTACACAGGGTTGCTATGAGTTGCAAGTGACTTGACAGCCCATAATAACAACATTAAACTTGATTTTCTATTTTCTCAGGGCCTGGGGAAGACCGGACTCCCTCTCACTACAGGTGGAACTCTCACGTACTTACCACCACCTCGACAGGCATTCCGTAACTCTTCAAACATTAATTTCTCCAAAGAATCATTAACATAGAAAACTCCTTCCACCTGGTACCAAAGAAAAAGAATATGCCTCAGTGAATGAACACGATTTACAGGCCATGGACAGAATACAAACAGTCCATGTAGTACTTATTTTTATCTTGCCCTTTTTTTAAGATTTTAATGAATTTTTTTAATAAACTTTTCATGAACTTGGATTTCCATTTATTCATTGTTGCATATTTTCATCCCTGTCCCCCCACCTTGCTCAGCTTTTTTCTTTGGAAAAGTTTTCAGTTATACACCCACCCCTTTATCTTGCCTTTTTAGAAAACACTTCCACATTACTTCAAGTAGAAAACTTCCCATCAAACACTACACCTTGATACTATCTTTAAATATTCTTTTCAGATTTTGCAATTCTCAAAATTATTTTGCTTACAGACGAAACGTTTCCTTTTGTGATAAAGAAGTCTTCCAACTACTTTGCTTTGAAATGTCTTAACATTTTAATGCTTCTAAACTACCAGTTGATTTTGAAAACAGAGAATCATCATACAATTAAATCTGTAGCCATCTGACTTTAGTATATTTTAGTATATATATCAACAGTAAACTACATTTTACTGTTGTACGCTGACTTGAAAAATCTATGTTTACATAAATAATGTGTTAAAACAAAATCTTAACATGTAGCTGTGTGTTAACCATGGTAGTAGCAGCAGCCAACAAATCAAAAAATGCACTGCATTGGAGAAATCTGCTCTCAAAGACCTCTCCAAAGCTCTACCGTGCAAGGATGTCAGTTTAATGACTAAGGCAAGTCAAGGTCTTTTCAAGGCACCTGAAAATGGGACAATAAATATGGAGACCATCAACACATTTGAGTTGTGGTGTTGGTGAAGAGTATGGAACATCCCATGGACAGCCAAAATAACAAATCTATCTTGAAGTGCAACTAGAATGTTCCTTGGAGGTAAGGATGATAAAACTCTGTCTCACACACTCTGGGTATATTTTCTTTCTTTCTTTTTTTGTGGGCACCATATCAATTTACTGCTTTGGTTTTCCAATTTCACTCTTGAATGATGCAAGGTCAGTCTCCCACCTACCTGCCTGGCTATTGGGTAGTGCCTTCTCTGAAGATGGAGTCTGGGTCTATTTTTAAGAGGTACCAGTCCTTGGAGAGAAATACTGTGCCAGGAAAGGTAGAGGGTCAGCAAAAGGTAGGAAGAAGGCCCTCAACGAGACAGACTGACACAGTGACTGCCACGATGAGCGTGTGCTGCCGGAGACCAGGAGGACGGGGCAGGATAGGACAAGGTTCAGATCTGTTGTTTACAGAGTTGCTATGAGTCCTGGTTGACTCAATGGCATCTAACAACAGCTGTGTCCTGGGTTCTAGAATTTTTTTCTTTACAGAATACAACTTTTAACCTCAGTTAAAAATACACCTGTCATTGGAGACCCACAGAGGCCACAGTAACTGTTAATATGTAATATTAAAGAACAAGGTATTTTAAACAGAGAGTAAATATGACCAAGCAATGAAGAATCAAAGGTTTAACATGTAATCATTTAGATAAGCAAATTTATTTCTCTTATCAGACAGAGGACTTCACCACTGCTGCATGAGTAACAATACCAGCTGGTGGAAAAGGTTTCCAGTACAATTTTCTCAGGGTCACCTTTATCAATTCAAATGTTGATGAACGACTTCTCATGAGCTAAGGAGCTCTGGTGGTGCAGTGGCTAAAAGCACCCACCTATGAACTGGAGGCCAGTGGTTTGCACTCATCAGTCTCTTCTGGGGACAAAGACATGGTGGTCTGTTTCCACAAAGATTTATGACGTTAGGAAACCCTTTAGGCAAGCTCTCCTCTGTCCTACAGAGCTGCTGTGAATTGGCACTGACCCGTGAGTCTGGCTTGGTATTACGGGACCGGGGCTGTAATGGGCACTAACATGATGAATCCTGCTTCCAAGGAGCATTCAATCCAGAAGGTGGCTCAGAACAAGCAAACACTGAGGTAAACGCTACAGTGGAAGCACATGGTGCTAGGAACACTCTGAGAGGGTGGCTGAAGGCTCTGGGGACCTAGAAAAACTTTGTCCAGGCCCCGTGTGAGCTGGTTCTTTATACAAAGCAGAAGCTGACCACAATGACGACAAAAAGATAGGAGGGGAGAGAGCATTTTCATCAAGCAAAGAGAAGTTTTCAGTGCTGCACATGGCTCTTAGCAGCGTAATGGGGATTGTGCTAAAGAATTATGATTCATTTTCAAAAGGATGGGAATATATTTCAGATTTAATATAAAGGTCAGTAACTCTCAAAGGCAGTAGTGGCTAAGATGTGCAAATCCTTAAATTGGCAATACCAAGCAAAATGAGAATTATTAGACTTGTTACCAAACAGAATTAGCAGCAGCGCCTATATAAAAACCCAAGGGATATAACAATCTCCCACCCTTGAAAATGCTGCTTAACAAAGTTGTTTTATTATCCTTTTAAGACAATCATTTAACAATAATTGCTTATTCTCTACCCTTTCTTTCAATGACCCAAGTTTGGCACATTGTATTCAACCAAATGTCTGGAAAGCAGTCTTGCCTTTGGGGCTTCCCTCCCCCTTACTGTAGAGCTCAGCGCTTTGTTCACAGCAGACATTCAAAGAGCTTTGATATGGAATAAACAGAGTGTGGTGTCAGGAACTTTGCTTTAAATACATGGGACTGCAAACTTTCAGTGTACTTCCTTGGCATTTAAAGAGTAAAATTTCATGGGTCATTTAAGTATTTATGCCCCAAATCTCATCTATGTTTCTTTACAGTAGTTACTGAGAGGACGGCAAGGGGAGCCCGGCATTCACACTTTTTCAATCTTGGGTTAAAACAGCTCCATCTGGGGTATGGCTTGGTTTGAAGAACAAGGACAGAAGTGGACATCTGAACTGGCTAAGGTTCTTACTTGGTGAGGAAAGGACGCTGTCACGGACCCAATCCTTCTTTTCAAAATACTCGGAAAAAACCCACACACCACACCCAAACTAACTCCTGGTCCATTAATACACTGGGCTGCTGTTTAAAAGAAATTCTTTAAAATACACTTTTATTGGGGGAGAGGGTGGGTAAGGAGAAAAGTGCAACAATGAATGACTGGAAACCCTAAGTCTCTGTAAACTTTCATTAAAATTAATTTTAAAATCTAAAAAAAAAAAACCAACCCCAAAAAACCCCAAATTACCTACAGGCAAACCCCCCTCCATTTTAAAATTTTATTATAGTTTGTGTGTGTGTGTACCATCAAATCGGATCTGACTGGTGGTACAGGGGGAAATTGCCCCTCCTTCTCTAGCAGATCATCTGGTGGACTTGAACCGTGTAAAATAAAATGTTTTTACAGAAATCCAACACAGGGCGGGTTTTCAGAGGTCGTAAATCGCACAGGAGAAGATGTCCATCTTTCTCTAGAGAAGTAGCTGGATTAGAACCACATACCTTTAAGTTGTATATCTGTTTCATTGATTATGCAAAGGTGTTTGTGTGGATCATAACAAACTGTGGCTGACTCTGAAAAGAATGGGAATCATAGAGCACTTGATCGTGCTAATGAGAAACCTATACTTGAACCAAGAGGCAGTCGTCAGAACAGGGCACGGAAACACTATGGTTCAAAATTAGGAAGGGCGTACGTCAGGGATGTGTCCTGTCTCCATACCTTTTCAACCTGTATGCAGAACAGATTATCCAGGAGGCTGGGCTCTATGAGGAGATTATGTGGGATTAAGATTGGAGGAAGAGCTATCAACAATCTGCGTTATGCAGGTGACATAACCCTGCTTGCTGAAACTGAGGAGGACCTCATGCACTTGCTGCGAAGGGTCAAGGACTGCAGCCTTCAGTATGGACTGAGGCTCAATGTCAAGAAGACAAAGATTCTCACCACTGGGCCAATTGGCAGCATCAGGATGGATGGTGAAGAGATTAAGATTATTCACAGCTTTAGTTTGCTTGGCTCCACAGTCAACACTCTTGGCACCAGTAGCCAGGAAATTAAAAGACATACTGTGATGGGAAAATCTGCTGTTAGGGACTTCTCTAAAGTACTGAAGAAAGAGCAATGGTGTCTCTCTGGAGACTAAGGTGTGTCTGACACAGGCCATGGTCTTTGTGATCACTTGTTATGCATCAGAGAGTTGGACAATGACCAAGGAGGACAGAAGGAGAATTGATGCCTTTGAACGGTGGTGCTGGAGAAGAGTATTGAGGATACCACGGACTGCTAGGAAAACAAACAGATTCATCCTGGAGAGGGTTAAACCGGGCTGCTCCTTGGAGGCAAGGATTCTGGGGCTTCGTCTGACATACTTTGGACATGTTGTAAGGAGGGACAGGTCCTTGGAGAGGGACATCATGCTTGGGAGGGTGGAGGGACAGTGCAGGAGGGGAAAACCCTCTATGAGGTGGATTGATTCAGTGACTGGGATAATCGGGATGGGAGTGTCAGAGACAGTGCGAGTGGCACACGACAGAGCAGAGTTTAGGGCTGTTGTACATAGGGTCGCTATGAGTCGTAAGCGACTCGACGGCACATAACAACAACCTCTGAGTTTGCAGCCCAATTCCTTATCCATTACTTATTTATAAATACTTAAATTTTTTTTTAAATCCCCGTTAATCCATTCGGCTGCCGCGAGGAACAAAATGCTGTTTTGAAAACCAACGCAGAACGGCAAATGCAAACACTTGGCTCAGCAGATACCATCTGCAAGCGTCAGCCAGACTCCCGAGGGCCCGAGTTCCAGAGCCGAGGGGCGGTCCCCGGGACCCGAGGGGCGGTCCCCGGGCTGGCGGGGCCACGCTGGGGGGAAAGGCCACCGATATTCCCAGGATTCTGGGACCGTCACACACCTTCCGGGGCTTTTACGAGAGTGCACACGGTGTGAAGACGGGGCGCCGGCGCCCGTAGCCGGTGGACTTGAACCCGCCCTCCGACACATCCCGCTTTGCTCGTCCCTCGTGGTTTGGGGACCGTCCCGCGGGGCCGGAGGGGCGGGAGGGACCGGGCTGGGACGCAGTGCCAGGCTGGGAGGCAGTGGTCAGCCCCGGGCTCGGGCAGGCGCCGGCCAGGCGGGAGGAAGGCTGGCCGGACCCGGAAAGAAGCGCGGGCGGGCTCCAAGCCGGGGAAGGCCCGGCGCCTTGTCCCCCTCCCCGCCTCACCTGCATGTTAGGCACAAAGCCTTTCTTGATCCTCCAGCAATTTTTGTTGATTTTGTCCAAGAACTGCAACTCATCATTGTAGCTGCGACTCATGGTGGCGACAACGGCGGCGAAGACTCGAAGGCCCGCTTTAAAAAGGCAGCAGATGCCGCGCTGTACCGACGGCTGGAGCGCGCGCTGGCCGCCAATGCGCAGGCGCGGCCGGAGTCTCAGCGTGGGCGACGGCAAGCGCCGAGGCCCCAAACACCTCATACGACTGCCTTTTTACGAATGTGAGACTGCCCTCTAGCGTTAATGGTTTTCGATCTCTCCTAGTTTAAGTTCAAACTCAACCCCAGGTGAACAAGTCCATTCTGACTCCTAGGGACGCGGAAGGACAGGGCAGAATTGCTCTATCGGGTTTCCAGACTGTACATCTTTATAGAAGTTAATGACCTCATCTTTTTCATGAAAAAAAGTCTTTTTAAAAAGTCATTGCCATCATGGAGTCATACAATTTGATGGTTAGGGAGCTGAGGGAAATGGAAAGGATCTTGTGTGAAAAACAATGTATTTGAATTTTGTAAATAAGCTAGTATAAAAAATGTAAACTAGAATGTGTATGAACGATTGTATGAAACACGATGTAAATGAAAGATTGTATAAAACAATGTATATGAATGAAACATGTTGTAAAGGGATTATTACACGAATATCAGTAAAAAATATTAAAGAAAAAAAAGTTAAAAAAAAATTTCATTGTCATCGTGTTGCAACCGAGGCATAGTTGAGTCTCCAGCAGGTTTTCGGAGGTTGTAAATCTCACTAAGGGAGATGGCTCTGCTTTCTTCTACAGAGCAGCTGGTGCATTTGAACTCATTGACTTTGAGTTGGCAGCACAATTCCTAACCCGCTAGAACCTAAGAGGTCATCAAAGGAATGGGAAAGATTCGGTGTGAAAAACAAAGTATACTAACTTTGTAAGTAAACCAGTATAAAATGAAAAAAAATCAATAAAAAGAAAGAAAGAAAACACCCCTTTCCGAAAGTAACTAGTTCTAACTGTACACTTTTTGGTGAAAGCTTAACTACTGCGCCGCAGGGGCTCCTTACCTGTTCAATGTATGATTTTTATGGACCTGTAAATAAATACCCTCACAAATTTTTCCGGGAGCCCTCACAAATTTTTCCGGGAGTTCTGGTGGCCTAGTGGAATTGTGCTCCCAATGGAAAGGTATATGGTTCAAATCCACCAGCTGCTCCACAGGAGAAAAAGGCGATCTCCTTTGTGATGAACTGCCTCTGAAAACCCACTGAGTGCCACCTATGTCTTGATTCTAGCTTGATGGTACACAACAACAATACTGATTGACAGTCTTTCGAGGTGCTACATTTGCAATGAAGCTACATGTGTTGCTGCTGCTTCTCAGTTATAATGTGTTCTGGTTAAAATGAACTAATTCCCCAGGAAGTTTACAATTGCTCATTTAAAACTATGCCCAAATGTCATTATTTTTCATAAAATGTTCCTTTATGTTTCAAAGGTTTGTCTTTTTAAAAGATATTTCACAGTATGATTCTAAATATTTTTTTATAATACTTGTTTAATTTTGTACTCTAATCTATGGCTGAAGACTACACCCTTGAGTAAGGATTGAAGCTCAACATCAAGAGGACAAAGCTTCTTGCCACTGGGCCAATTGGCAGCACCATGATGGAGAAGATATTGAGAAGATGGAGAAGAGAGTGAGGTTGTTAACAATTATAGCTTGCTTAGCTCCACAATCAATACTCTTAACACCAGCAGTCAAGAGATCAAAAGATGAGTTACATGAGGAAAATCTGCTGTCAGGGACCCCTCCAGAGTGCTGAAAAGCAATGATGTCAGTCTAGAGACTAAGGTGCATCTAATCCAGGCAATTACTCACTATGCATCAGAAAGCTGGACAATGATTAAAGATGATAGAAGAATTGATGCCTTTTGAGTTGTAGTGCTGGAGAAGAGTCTTGAACATACCAGGGTCCACCAAGAAAACAAATGTGTCTGTCTTGGAGATGATGAAACCAAGTTTTTCCTTGGAGGCTAGGATTTTGAAGCTCCATCCCACATGCTTTGGGCATGTGGCCAGGAGGCACCAGTCTTTGGAGAAGGACATTATGCTTGGAAGGGTGGAGGGATAGCATGGAAGAGGAAGACCTTAAATGAGAGGGATTGATACAGTAACTGGGGCAATGGGAGTTGGTGTGTCAGAATTAGTGAGACTGACTCAGGGCAGGGCAGGGTGCAGAGCTGCTGTACATAGTGTCGCTGTGGGTCGTAGGTGACTTGACAGCACGTAACAACAATATAATTCTATACCCAGTGTCTCTTGTTCATAATAAGCCCGGTCTTATATTGTTTTATAATTTTGCTCCATTTTTTCCTCTCTCTAGTCAATTCAGGGTCTCCTAATGTGATCCCTTTCAGCAGTAGTGTCTGGTTCTGGTCTCAGGGTCATAGAAACTGAGGTTCGTTCATACAGCCCATTAGAGTCTTGGACAAATTGTCTCAGTTCATTGTTTTCCCCTTTCTTGTTTGTTCTGGACAGGGAGAGACCAATCGCTGCTCCTTGGATGGCTGTTTAAATGCACTTAAATACTCTCACTGCCTTTTCCCTAATCCCTGGGAAAGGAGGATGGGGCACATATAGAAAGAAAGAAAGAGAGAGAGAGAGAGAGAGAAAGAAAGAGAAAAGAAAAGAAAGCATTCTTGAAGGGAATCAGTTTCCAGAGTCTCCTAAGATCACTCTGTATCTTAATGGGGAAAAATAAAAATGAAGCTGCAACCTTAATTCATTCAATTTCACTTTTCAATGGAGCTTTTAAATCTGCAGTCTGAGATTTTGTGAATGGTAAGCCCACATCCAAACCCAACCAGCTGCAGTGCTTGGTTTTGACTTATGCTGGGTGCCGGAGTACAACGGTGCTCCATGGAGTGTTCACGGCTATGACCTTCTGGAAACAGATCACCAGGCCATTCTTCTGAGGTGTCTCCTGGTGGGTGCCAGTCTCTAATCTTCCGTTATGCAGTTGAGTACTTAACTGTTCACGCCACCAAAGGCTCCTTTATCAGTGCTAAAGATATTCCCTTCCCTTTATCATGTGCTATTTTATTGAAAAAAAAAAAAAAGAAAAACATTTTCAAATAAAAAAGACAGACATTGATAGAAAACCATTTTAATTAAATAAAGGACACAGTAACAGTACATACAAAACATAAAACACCAAAATGTAGGGAGGAGGAGATCCCTAGAGGGGTGAGGAGGGCCCCATGGATAAGAACCATTTCAAATGTTCTAAAGAGTTTCTTTTTATTTTTGTCTGTGTTCCGTCAAATCAGATGTGACTGGTACAGGAGGAGGTGCCCCTCCTTCTCTAGCACAGCATCTGGTGGATTTGAACCGTGTGCCTCTGGGATTGCAGTTCAGCTTCTTGCCACTAAGCCACCAGAGCTTCCTCTAATGTTTCTTATCCATCTCATTCGGGGCACATACCTAGCTCTTGGCTCCCAAATCCTGTAAACATGTATACACACATAACACGCACATGTACATGTACATATTCAAAAGCCCATCACTACACACACACACACACAGCGACATCCCCCTCCCCTCACATTCAGGTCTTTAATCCACTTTGCTTCCCTCTAAGTCCCAGGAGATTTGAGAAAGAGTTTTGCTCAAGCAACTGGGAAAGGTTTAAGCTTCCACCATCCACTGTCGTCATCTTCTGGGTTTACAGCAGCTGTAGGGTTAAGAGCCATCTATGTCTTGGGATGTCTTGTAAATCGGTACTCAAGGGGCTGGCTTCCTATTCCAGAATTCATTTAATAAGTTCAGGTTATTTCCCCAGCTGTGACCACTTGGCTTCTGCTTTGACTTTTGTTCATACTTCAGGTCAGTGGAAATTAAAAGGAAACCCTGAAAAGGATGGGATAATGAAGAAAATGTCAACCTTTGAGCACTTATAGCTTTGGAGTGTCTGGGTTTGCTGCATACCCCATCCTGTTCTATGTTGCTTCCCCCACCCCCCATCGCCCCAACTGAGGGAGGGCACCTTAGATGTAAACAGGCCACTTTGGGTTAAAGTCATTTGATTTGACTTAAGCCTCTGCAGAACCTTATGTAGGCATGTATGTGCATTCTTGGAGTTGGATGGGAAAAGAAGGTACGTCATTTGTATAATTGGACATTCCTATCAGAAATTAATTTCTATATCTTGGAAGAAAAAGCTCTAAAAAGAAAGGAAGGATGAGAAAAGGTTGCTTGAAGTTAGTGAATGAGAATATATCTTGAAACAGTTAACAGACTCCTGGATTCAGAAGAGGGAAGTTCATGGACTGGGGTTTCAGAAGTACAAATCTGGTCACAGTCTCGTGCTTTTCTAGGAGCATAATCCCCTTTGAATTCTGACTCTTAGCATTGTCACTTTTGCTGTTGTCAACTGTCTTGGATCTGAACCCTAACCACTTGGTTCTTATCATAGGGCCATTCATATGATTAGTTGTAGGGTAGGATTATAGACTATAGAGTTTTTATTGACTGATTAGGGGAGTAGATTACCACATCTTTCTTCTTAGTATTTTTTACTCTGGAAGGACCACTGAACTCTGTTCAGCATCCCGGTTACACACAAGCCTCCATTGACATATGGATGTTAGCAGCATATGGAATGCATTTGCTGGGAATTGAGACTGAGTCTTCAGTGTGGAAGGCAAGAATTCTATGACTGAACACCAATGTGGTCTCCTCATATACAGACTTTCTTGTGAAACAATTGAAATAAGGAGTGCTAAGCAATAGTTTCTTCTAGCATGAAATAGTAGTAGTAGTAGAGTAGTAATAATAATAATAATAATAATAATAATAGTTTTATGACAAGTATTTGTTATATTTGAGTAATTCAATAATGGTTGGGCTGCTTAGTGAAAATTGATTGGACTTGCACTGATTTGTAAACCCAACTTTAAATCCTGTTATGAGTTAATGTCAAATTTGTAAAGAACTAAATGTGTTGTTAATGAAATTCCTTAGGCTATGGGGGGAACCCCCCAAATAAAACAAAAATAAAAATAAAGAAAGTAACAAGAGACTTATCCAAGTGTGAGAAGAAATGCGTTAGCTAAGAGGAGCTTTGCATTCTTACCTCCAGAACTTCAATGTCTGAATTGGCGTATGAGATATTATATGGGTTGGGTAGAGGAAATCCTTGCTGCAATCGTGCTAAAAATATAGAACAAAGATGTACTTTGGCAACTTTTTAGTAAGAAGGAGTGAATTATGTTCAATTTGCTGCAGTGACTCAACAAAAATCGTGCAGGGTAAGGTCCAGGATTGTCATTCATTTAAACTATGTGTGGGTGTGCAAATAAGAGCTTGCTTGATTAGACATTATAAAACATTAATCAATGTAACTAAAGTTACAAAACAGAAAGTCTACAAATGATTGAAAAAATTAAATATGATTTGTGTGTCTTCACTCAAAAGGAAAAAAAACTAAGCAAAAAAATACTAAATGGGTGAAAAGAAAGACAAAATACAATAAGGGGTTTATTAGACATTGCAACTGATCAAATAAATTGATTCATGGCAATTTTTGTTGTAAAATGAAAAAAAAGTGTGTGTCCAACAGGTAGGTAGTGCCTGCATAAGAATCACAAAAATAACCTCTTTGACTCCTTTCCAAATTGACTCAAAGGAGTCTCTTTACTGTCTAATGAGAATGGTTTCAGTCTTCTTCACTTAAACACACTTAGCCTTTCTTGCTGAGTCTGCAAAGAGTGTTTCCAACAGCAATAAGACCTAGCTCAATTCATCTTGCAATTGCCTTGTTGATGGTGCAAGCTTTACTCTTTCTGGCTCTTGCTTGAATTCATAACAACACTAGAAGCAAGAGGAATAAACAGACTATGCCTATACTTAGTCAAGTTCCATGGGTTTCTTATTTTCCAAGAATGTCTTACCATTGGCCAGTGGGAGCACTCCAAAGTGAAGAATAGAAGACAGAATATTCTCAAACCTCAAGACCTGAGATAAAAAGTAGAAAATGGGTCAGTTACCAAAGAAGGCATTTAGAAAATGCTTGACATTGTTTTGGCATGTACTTGTCTAGACTTTATGAGGATAGAGAGCAGTAACTTGGACATAAACTAACTTCCAAGATAAAGAATGATATTTTGTAGGGAATCTTCTCACAGAGTCTCCCAGGCTCATTTTTCCATTGAAGTGAAATTTCTTTCCCTCTCTGTGCCAGACTTTGATGATGGCAAATATAAAGAGAGGGGATGGTGACAGCTTACATATCTGCCAAATGAGACAGTAACGATTAACTAATGGATATACCAATTAGGAGCCTTCTCTTTGTCTGTTGAAGACCTCTCCCACAGAAGATTCTTTGCATTATACTATACCATAACATTAAGGGTATTACAAGAACATTCACTCTATCCTTAATAAACTGTGTGTTGTTGTCTACCATGGAGTCGGAACCGACCCATTGCTGCCTCTCCAAAGGGTTTCCAGAGGCAGTAAATTGTATGGAAGGAGACTGTCCATTTTTCTCCCCTGGAGCAGCTGGTGGATTTAAACTGCTCGCCTTTGGGATGACGGTGCAGTGCCTCACCATTAGGCCACCACAGCTCCCTATTTTTTTTTTTAACATAAATGACTTAACGGTACATAAAAACAATAACATATACATGACAGGTTGGAAGCAGAAGTGGCACCCCCTTCCTAAATAACATGCCTCCGGAAACTCTGTGAACTTTGATAAATGTCAATAGTTGTAGAGAGGCTTCAGGCCTTTTGTTCATAGGGTCGCTAAGAGTCCTGCTCTATTCGAAGACAATCAACAATAACAACAACAACTAAATTGTAGTAGTTGAGAACATTGGTTCCTGGGAAGATGAAAGTATTTTTTTTTAAACCCAAATGGCCAGTGAAGAACACTAATCATTCAATGGAGCATCCAACATGCTTAGCAAGAAAAAGCCTCTTTGTAGCTCAGTGATGCTAGCTCCGAAGCTAGATTTCCCAAGTTTACCTCTTGGTTCTATTGTTTAACCTTGTGAAGCTGGTAAAGTCACTTAACTTCTCTATGCTTCAAAAGTCTCAACTGTAAAATGAAGCTAATACTCTTAGTCTCATAAGATCAAAAATGTTAATATTATGGAAAATGCTTAGATCAGTGCTTGGCATATAAATAAAGGTGTGTACACAAGCACAAACACACTCACACATATGCACACCACATACATGCACACAAACACCTCCCCAATAACAACAACAACACCACCCCAAACTCATTGCTGTAGAGTCAATTCCAACTTAGGAGACCTTCTAGCTTGTTCTCAATGTTGTAAATCTTAGCAGGAGGAGAGGGTCGTATTTTTCTTCCAAGAAATGACTGGTCCGTTTGAACGGTTGATGTTTTGATTAGTACTCAACTCTTAACCACTTGTGCACCAGGACTCCTTTGCTTCGCACACTCTGTACTATCACTGTCATTTGTTTTTTAGACATTTCAGAGTTAGCACAGCTTGTTGTTGCCCATAAATAGTCTATGTTGGTTTTTCTGGAGGACTTAAATTCATTCCCCCCCCCCTTCCTGGGCTCAGGAAATATGATTTATGAGAAAGTCAGCTATGCATTCTCATTGATTGATTGATAGTTGTTGTTGTTGTGCCATTGAGTCAGGTATGACTCCTAGCGACTCTATGAACAAAAGATCTGTTCAATAATTTCCACACTCTGTGGGGTCACCTTTCTTTGGAATGGGAGTCTTCAGTACGGATTGAGGCTCAATATTAAGAAAACAGATTCTCACCACTGGGCCAATTGTCAGCATCATAATGGATGGTGAAGAGATTGAGATTGTTCACAGTTTTGGTTTGCTTGGATCCACAGTCAACACTCTTGGCACCAGCAGCCAGGAAATTAAAAGATGTACTGCCATGGGAAAGTCTGTTGTTAGAGACCTCTCTAAAGTACTGAAGTACAAGGATGTCAGTCTGGAGACTAAGGTGTGTCTGATACAGGCCATGGTCTTTGCAATCACTTGCTATACATCAGAGAGTTGGACAATGACTTGGAATGATAGAAGGAGAATTTATGTCTTTGAGTTGTGGTGTTGGAGAAGAGTATTGAATATACCATGGACTGCTAAGAAAACAAACATGTTTGTTTTGGAGAGGGTGAAGCCATGCTGCTCCTTGGAGTCAATGATTCTGAAGCTTCGTCTGACCTACTTTGGACATGTTGTAAGGAGGGATCGGTCCTTGGAGAGGGGTGTCATGCTTGGGAGGGTGGAGGGACAGCGGAGGAGGGGAAGACCCTCGAGGAGATGGATTGATTCAATGACTGGGGTAATGGGGATAGGTGTGTCAGAGATGGTGAGATGGGCACAAGATAGGGCAGTGTTTAGGGTTGCTATGAGGCACTGGCGACTTGATGGCACATAACAACAACAACAACAACTTTGTCCAGGAGCAGGCTGCTAATCTTTGTCCCACTGAGCATCTGAAAGGTTAGGACTGCTTTGGTTAGCAGCTCAATGCTTAATGCACTATATCACCACACCTTCTTCAACTTTAAGGAGTTCTGGTATCCTAGTGAGTTGCACTGCCAACCCAAAGGCAGGCGGATCAAATCCACCAGCTGTTCATGGTAAAAAAAGAGGGATGATCTCCTCCTGCACAATTTACAGCCTCTGAAAACGCATTGTAAGGTCAGCTAGGGGTCAATTCTGACTTGATGGCATAAAAGAACAACAATCTTCAACTTGCATAGGATGCTTGGTTAAAACCAATAGTCATGGAGAAATCAAGTATTTAGAGGCATATTTAAACAACCACTCAGCATAAAGGGACATTCTGATTCTTCCCTTTCCAGGAGAACAAAAGTACTCATTCCTACCTCAATGTTACCACGATTGGATTCTGGCAAGGAGAGGCGAAATCTGAAAGGGAACAGAACAAAGTTAAAGGAAAATATAACAAACCACAATGACCTTAATAGATATAAACAAATACAGAAGGCAAATTTTAGATTAATTAATCACTACTGTTTTTTAAAAAACCGCACTATACACAAACCACTTTGCAAAGACATAGTGTTCTATTACATCTTCCACTATCTTTTGCCACTTAGCAAGCAGAGCAGAATTAGAAAACAGATTTTTGCAGTCAGGATGAGTTTTCCAGATGTATTTGATGTACAGGGTTTGTTGGTAATGTGAAATGAATGCAGAGCAATTATAAGAGCAGCTTTAGGATCTTCTGCTCTCAACTCAGCCTTGTCATTGTCTGAAACCAGGTCAGTTCCTTATGAGTAAAACAGAAATACTGTAATGATGCAATGATGCTGAAAGCAGTGGTGTTAACAGTGCTGCTGATGATGGAGAGAGACACACCCACCTAAGAACTTTACAGACATTTTAAAAAAATACAATCTTCAAAACAACTATGAAATATCATCTCACCCTAGTAACAATAGTAAAATTCAACAGAAGAGCAAATAATAAATGTTAGTGAGGTTGTGGAGAAACTCGAACCCTTATTCACTGTTGGTGGAAGTGTAAAATGGTGCAACCACTGTGGAAGGCGGTATGGCACTTTCTCAAAAAGTTGGAAATAGCAATACCATTTGACCCAGCAATTCCACTACTGGGAATATACTCTAAAGAAACCAGAACTGCCACCCAAGTAGATATAGGCACACCTATGTTTATTGCTGTTTTGTTCACAATAGCAGAGAGTTGGAAATAACCAAAGTGTCCATTAGCAAGTGAATGGATAGAGAAGCTGTGGTATAGTCACACAATAGAGTACTATGCTGCATTGAAAAACAAGGAACTCATGAAATATTATACAGTTGACCCTGGAGGACATTATATTGAGTGAAATATCCCAGTTACAAAAGGATAGATACTGCATAATGCTACTGTTATCAAACAGGACTGACATTAGGTTTGGGGGGAAATTAGGAAAAGAAGGGATAAATAATGTGCACTACATTGAAACAGATGAAGGAGTGAACTGTTTAAAGGGGATATATGGTTGGGTATTGTTTGTATGACAAGAGTCCAGAGTAGAAGCTGCATAGAAAAGTGGACTGGGGCCAGAGGAAGGTTGTATAACAATGAAGGAATTTAAAAAAAAAAAAAAAAAGAAGGAATTTTCTTTCTTTTCAAAGAGAAAAGCAAACTGGGGGGAAGAGGTGGGCAGGGAGAAAAATGTGCAACAAGAATGAATAGAAATCCAGGTTCTCTATAATTTTTCATTAAAATCTCAATTAAAAAAAAAAAACTAAAAAAAAAGCAATCTTCACAATAGCCCTTTGCAGTGTTGTTGCTGCTCAATGCCATTGAGTTAGTTCTACTTATAGTGACCCTATAAATGACAAAAGGAAACCCAGGCCACTCTTGCACCATATTCACAATCTCTACTGTGCTTAAGCCTATTGTTCTAGTCACTGTGTCAATCCGTATCATTGAACATCTTCTCCTTCGCTGAGTCTCTATTTTTCCAAGCATAATGTCTTTCTGCAGGTGCTGGCCCCTCTTGATTAGCATGTCTAAATCTGTGAGACCCACTTTCATTCTAATTACTTCTAACTCCTTGCTATTGTGAATAAAGCTGCAATAAACATGGGTGTGCATACATTACTTCTAAAAAGCACTCTTAGACTCTTAGGTTGCGCTTCTTCTAAGACAAAAAAAAGATTTGTTTATTCTTTTGGAAGTCCGTAGTATATTCAATATTCTTTGCCAGCACCATAATACAAACATATCAATTCTTCTTGGCTCTATTTAATTCATTGTCCCATATTCAGTGCCTAAGAAGAGGCAATGCAATTGGCACAGGATAGAGCAGGGTTTAGGGCTGTTGTACACAGGGTCACTATGAGTCGCAAATGACTCGATGGCACATAACAACAACAACAAGAAGCAATGGGATGTACCATGGTTTGGATCAGTATGTTGTTGTTGTTGTTATGTGCCGTCAAGTCACCTGTGAGTCATAGTGACCCTAGGCACATTAGCTCTGAACCCTGTCCTATCCTGAGCCAATCTCATCATCTCCAACTGACCTAATCCCATTTTTCCAGTAACTGAGTCAGTCCCTCTCATCCTGGCTCTTTCTGTCCTGCACTATCCCTCCACCTTTCAAGCATGATGTTCTTTTCCAAGGATTGCCCTCGTCTGGCCACATGCCCATGCCCAAAGTATGTGAGAAGGAGCCTCAAAATTCTTGCCTCCAAGGAGCAGCCTAGTTTCATCCTTTCTAGGACAGACTGGTTTGTTCTCCTAGCAGTCCACTGTATGTTAAATACTCTTCCCCAGCACCACAGCTCAAAGGCATTGATCTTTCTTCTATCAAGTATCCTTTAGTTTTTAAAGTGAAGTCCTTGTGCGTTATCACTTCAATGAGGACATTGGTAGTAGATTTGCCAAATGTAACATATTTTTTTTTATTTCTTGGCTCCTGTTTCTACGGATGTTGATTGTGGATACATGTAAAATGAAATTCTTGGCTACTTCAATCTTTTCTCCCTTCATCATGATGCTGCCTATTGGTCCAGTGGTGAAGATTTTTCTTTTTGAAATGTTGAGGTTTAATCCATACGGAAGACTGCAGCGGTTCCCAAGCTTTGCCATTAAAAGTCTTTGTAATAGATGTCACTATTGCTTTTCTTTTTGTGGAGGATGAAAGCAATGCTTAGAGACAGTAAGTAATTTCCCCAAGATCAGAGAGACAGAAGCTGAGGGACTCAGATGGCAAAGCCCAGGACACTGCTGCTGAGCTGGCCCCAATTCCTGGTGAGCTCGTGTGTTAACGACAGAGCCTTGTAAACTGCGGCGTCTTCACCACTGTGGCTACTCTGCGCCTGTTTTAATGGCCACCATGTCAATAAATCTGGGTTAAGATTCCCCGACCTTCAGTGGCCCTCCTCTCCTTTGCCAGCAAGCGATTCCTTCCTTATGTTGTGAATCTCTGCCATAGAGTTCTTTCTCATTTGACTAACATTCAGAAGTGGACTTTGAGACCTTTCTTCACCATCTGTCTTAGCCTGAATGTTCTCCTGGAACCTGTTTATCATGGGTGACTTAGGTGGTATTTAAAATATCTGCGGTATAGCTGTTAGCATCGTATTAACATGCAAGCCACTGTTCTGTGACAAACGTTCAGATAGGACGGAATCCTAGTCTACTTCCAAACTCTCTGCTCAGTGCAGGCTACGCTCCATCCCTCAGAAGGCCAGATAAACATTGCTTTAACTGTTTAATCCTAGCATGTAAGTTCTATGCTACTATGTTAGCTAAGATGAAAGGCTATGTAGACTAATTAATAAATACTAGGGTTCTAATCAGAGGATGTATACCTCTTTTACCTTATTCTTCAGCACTTTGGAGAGGTCCCCAACAGCAGACTTCCCTAATGTGATTTGTCTTTTGATTTCCTGACTGCTGGTCCCAAGAGTGTTGATTGTGGAACCGAGCAAGCTGAAATTGTTAACAATCTCAATCTCTTCTACACCTATCAAGATGCTGGCAATTGGCCAGTGGTGAGGATCTTTAAATCTTGGCATAAAACAAGCCCCAGGAATTGATGGCATACCAATTAACATATTTCAACAAAGAGATGCAGCTCTGGAAGTACTCACTAGGCTGTGCCAAGACATCTGGAGGACAGCTACCTGGCAAACTGACTGGAAAGAAACCCATATTTATTCTCATTCCAAGAAGTTAGAATGGCAAGGGGTATAGAGATCTTATGTTCTGAAGACCTTAAATCAAAGAGTGTGTAAGATATTTCTCTGACATATCATACTGTTTCAGGTGTCTGTGCTTCAGTTCAGGCTTCCCCCTACTGGGATTGTCCTTCTTTCTCTTTGATTGGTTAATTCCTCTTCAGCAGTTAATATTCTTCTTACTACATAACCACAGATACCACTTCTAAAATTTCTGCTTTCACAGAATCTATAGAGCTGAGCAAGTACCACTTTAGAATAAATTAAGTTTGAGATAATTTTGAAGAAAGAACTAAAAGTAAAGACATGAAAGGCAATTATGTTTGACCAGGTTCAGAGATGATATCAGTAATCTGTTGGTTGAAACTGATAAGATGATTACTGGCTGAAAGGGAGGTCTGGATTCCTTAGGGTATCTTTGTAGGAAGTTGTTGTTGTTATGTGTCGTTGAGTCGATTGAGACTCATAGTGACCCTATGTACAACAGCCCTAAACCCTGCTCTATCCTGTGCCAATTGCACTGCCTCTGACACACCCATCCTGATTACCCCAGTCACTAAATCAATCCACCTCATAGAGGGTCTTCCCCTCCTGCGTCATCCCTCCACCCTCCCAAGCATGATATCTCTCTCCGAGGACCTGTCCCTCCTTACAACATGTCCAAAGTATGTCAGACAAAGCCCCAAAACCTTGACTCCAAGGAGCAGCCTGGTACAGTCAGTACTCTTCTCTAGCACCACAGCTCAAACGCATCAATTCTCCTTCTATCCTCCCTTGTCATTGTCCAACTCTCTGATGCATAACAAGTGATTACAAAACCCATAGCCTATATCAGACACACCTTAGTCTCCAGAGTGACACCATTGCTCTTCAGTACCTTGGAGAGGTCCCTAACAGCAGACTTTCCCATCACAATACATTGTTTGATTTCCTGGCTACTGGTGCCAAGAGTGTTGACTGTGTAGCCAATCAGACTAAAGTTGTTAACAATCTCAGTCTCTTCACCATCCATCCTGATGCTGCCAATTGGTCCAGTGGTGAGAATCTGTGTCTTCTTAACATTGAGCCTCAATCCATACTGAAGGCTGCAGTCCTTGACTCTCTGCAGCAAGAATTTCAGGTCCTCCTCAGTTTCAGCAAGCAGGGTTGTGTCATCTGCATAACACAGACTGTTAATAGATCTTCCACCAATCCTAACGCCACCTT